GGGGTGAGTGCAGAAGGCGTCCCTGAGGAGGTTGTGTGTGAGGCGAACGTCCCCCAGATTTATTCCATGCTGCTCGACTGCATGAACGACTACACCACGGACAGCAGGGGGGATGTTGGCGCATGGTGAGTGTGGTACCTGTGCTGCATGGTGGGCCCCATGCTGTGTCCTGGCCCACAGCACAGCCCTGAGGTTTAGAAGTGAGAGATTCCCCAGTCGTTTTTGAGAAGACTCTAGTGTGGGTGCTCAGGAGCAAAGGGTGTTTGGCTGAAGTCTGCTTTAGACAGAAATGTTCTCACTCGCTCTGGTGTCCTCTCTGCCCTGCAGGGTCCGCGAGGCTGCGATGACAAGTCTGATGGAGCTGACGCTCTTGCTGGGGAGGAGCCAGCCAGAGCTGATCAGAGCCAGCGAGTATGTGGGGCCTGCGCCCTTGTTTCAGGGGCTGGGGAGGCTCTCGGCAGGCTGGGCGGATCGGGTGGCTGCAGCAGTGCCCGTGGCTCTGTTCCCTTCGCAGCTGCGAGCGGGTCATGTGCTGCGTGGCCCAGCAGGCCAGCGAGAAGATCGACCGTGTGCGCACTCAAGCTGGCCATGTGCTCCTAACGTTGCTGCACTTTGACAGCCCCCCGCTTCCCCACGTGCCCCACCGGGAGGAGTTGGAGCAGATCTTCCCAAGGTGCTGTGGGGCCGCCTGTTCTCGGGGGTGGCGTCCCCCCTTCCTGGGGGTGGTTCTTCCCTGGCAGCTACTGAGCTGACCCCTGCTCTCTTGCAGGTCAGATGTGGCCACCATGAACTGGAATGCGCCGTCCCAGGCTTTCCCACGCATCACCCGGCTCCTGGGGCTGGCGGCATTTCGTTACCATGTGCTACTGGGGCTGGCCATGTCTGCTGGTGGCCTGACTGAGTCCACAGTAAGTGAGACACTGGTCCCACCCTCCAGCCACAGCTCCTCGCCCAGGGGGATGGCATCATCTGCAACAGGCTTGGGTAGGGTGTCTGCATGTGAGGGGTGGAGGCTCTGTTTGGAGGCCACAGGGGCCGCAATGACCAGGGCTCTTTGGTTACGAGTGGGCCGTGGGATCAGGTACAAAGTAGCTGAGCTGCCTTGCTTGGATGAGGCTGGGCCGAGCAGGCTCCATGAAGGTGGCTGGCTCTGCAGGGAAGTTCTTGCTTCCAAGCTGGGGTCACCAGGCCTCCTGGGGCAGCCTCTTCCTCATTGTTGGCCCTGCCACAGCACCTGCCAGAGCATCAGGAACAGGAGCTCAACCTGTGGTTTGTGTTTCTCGAACATTAGAAGCTGTTTCTTAATAGTCAGTGCACACTTAACACTAAACTGATTATTCCCTGGATGAGGGCTATTAATTCTCCTTGAACTTTTCACTTGGGGAACTTTGAACACACACAAAGTAGAGAAGATACTGCCATGGTCTGCCAGGTGCCCACTACTGTGGCTTCAAGAACTGTCAGTGCTATGCTGCTTCATCCCCTTGCTGCCACACACAAATGCTCATGTGCGCGTGCGCACACACGTACACAAAGGTGTTCCTTACTGAGTATTTTAAAGCCAATCCAGAGGGCCTGTCATTCACCTGTAAGAATAAAAAAAATAACAAACTCATTGCTGTCAAGTTGGATCCAACTCATAGCAACCCCTCCTTGGGTTTCCAAGGTGACATCACTATAGCAGTGGATGCCCAGTTTTGCTTCTGAGGAGTGGCTGGTGTCTGAACCACTAGCCTTCTGATTAGCAGCCAAATGTCTTAGGCACTATGCCACCAGAGTTCCTCCTGTAAGAATGGCCTGTCTCTAAAACATTGCGTTAAAAGCTCGCATCCCGCACATCCTGTGAGCCTCCTGGGCGTAGCTTAGACCATTTGTACCTTGGCTGTGTGCTGTTTGGGGTGGGAGGTCCTCACATGCCTTGTTGGTCTCCCCATACACCCCACCCCACCTGCTGCTCTTCTGGTCACACACCTTTGTCTCAGTGTAGCCCCACTCTGGACTTGACCACATCTCTCCTCGCTCATGTCCTGTGGGCACTGCCTTAGCCACAGGGTGAGCGTAGCCCCGTGGGCTGGCTTGGCCATCTCTGAACCACCCTCAGGTCCCCTGCTGACCCTCCTGAGGGGCACTGTCTTCTCTGAGCAGTGGGACCACGGTGCACTTGGGCTCTGTGCTCAGAGAACCTGGACACAGTTACTCTGTGCATTCCATCTACTCTCCAGTTCCCCTGCGGTCGGAGTAGCCTCGGACCCTGCACCTTCACTGCGGGAGGGCGAGTCCCAGCTCTGGATGTGGAATCTGTTTTCTGCCTTCCTGTCTGCAGGTCCAGTGCAGTGAACTGGTTGTGATTTTCTGCATACTTGGACTTACCCTGCCAACTTTTGATCTGACCCCTGATTCCTGTGTGTCTTTTTCTTCTGGGTGTTGAGTAGGTTTCTTGTTGCTGGTGGTTGCCTTTTTCCTTGTTATTTTTCTCTGTGGGTCTGGCATCCACACATGTCCTCTAAGAGCCGTAACCTTACCAAGTTGTCACCAGGAGTGTCTGGCTGTCTTCCGGACAGCAGAGGGGCTGAGGCCCACGGTGGTCTAGTGTCCTCTCATGGCAGCTCTGCCCACCTTCTCACTGCCCTGAAGACACTCTACTGTCTGCTTGTGGAGCTGGTGTGACCCCAGCTCTGCCAT